ATAAATCAGATCCCAGCAGAAGAAGAAATTAGGAAGAAGAGCTGGAAGTGGATAGAACACACATTGAGGAAAGTACCAAACTGCATCACAAGACAAGCCCTTACTCAGAATTTTCAAGATCAAAGGAGAAGAGGAAAACCAAAGGAGAATGCTGTTCGGTGGCCTATGCTCCAATGGGAATAACAGGTGTAAGTAAGTAAGTAAGCAAGTAAGTAATTAAGTAAGTAAGTAAGTAAGTAAGTAAGTAAGTAAGTAAGTAAGTAAGTAAGTTAGTAAATAAATAAATAAATAAATAAATAAATAAATAAATAAATAAATAATTACCTTACTAACAAAATCTAACGCTTTTGTACTACTTGATTATGATACCTTATTTTCGTTACTGTTGCTAACAGTAAAAAGAGGTCAATCAGGGAATATCTCCACTAACTTATAATCTCCTATCGTGAGTATGAAACTTAACACAGAGAAGTAATTTCATATTCTGTTGATTATCGTGACTTTGACCGATCTATATTTCTTTCTTTAATTCGCCATAATTGATGCTAGTCAAAATAATCAAATTCCCTATCATTGTTCTACTGTAAATACAAGTCAGTGATGTTTTAGGTTAATATGAAGTTGAACTGTTCACACATTAACTTATGATGTTTACAATATACTTCGAGTCGACAATCAGTTTCCAAAAGTATAATCGGATGTTAGGGTTTATGGTATTATATTTTTTAAACCATACATAACTATACGCATTGAATTTTTAGATGAAAATGCCTATAAAATGTAATAATATAGATTGATAATTCAAAGTTCAGATGGCTTCTTACTTATTCAGTGAAGAATGGACGCCCTTAATCAGGCATAAAAGCACCAAAAACAGGTTTATAATATAGAAAATGATAAACCTACAAGGCAATAAACGGTTAAGAATAATAGGAGAACGATTAGAGAATCAGTTAATACTTCAAAAAAGCTATCAACTACTTAATTAATTAGTGTTTTTTATAATTGTTGAGATCATGAGTCAATTGAAACTAGATCACCATGGAAAACATGGAAAAACTGGACGGTCGTGTTGTCATATTGTGGGTCTCCTCAGCAGTACGCATCCACGATCCTACCTCGAGAGATTCAAACACAGGACATATCAGTCTCGTGCGTGATCGTTTAATTACTGGACCACTGAGCCGGCCGGTATCCAACAATGTTAATGTCTAACTTAAACTAATCCACATCTCACAACAGACACGGTTGAACTCCACTGATCACTGTTTCACACTAGAACTCCATGAACTACTTCTTAGAGTCCGGTACTAGTGAGCATTCATTAACATCAATGAATCTGTTAATTAAGGTCACTCTATTTGTAATAAGAAAATGCAACTGTTGATATTTGACCCAAGTCAATCAAGTAATCCATGCAAATTTCAATGAATATTTAACTAAGTCAATAAAACTCGATTCTCGTATTAATTACCAATAGCTCAGAGTAAAATTGCATTGTTAGTTATCACTCAACTATAAAATGAAAAGTCCATCATACCAATAATGTCTGAAGAAACTTTTCTGAAATTTCTTTACAATATAATTGATGGGTATAGAAGTTCATTTTACTATCATCTATTAATTTAATAATTTCATGGAAAATAAAATCTATGATCTATGGTTTGTAATCAGTTAGAAATGGTGCAGATTAATGCAACTAATGAAATTAATACATACTTGAACGAAATCAAAATTCAGAGCTTTCTTTCGATTCTTACATACCATTCGAAAAAACATACTATTTACATATTCCAGAAACTACTACTTATTTGTCAGAATTCAGTAGTTGAATTAAATAAACAAACATTTAGTAGTCGTTTAATACTTTTTTGAATGGTTTGTGGAGATGGGAATTGTTTATGGATTATGCTCGTTATAGATGGATGATACTTGTGTAATATTTCAGACTTCAAAGCTTTAATCAACAGTTTTAACTTGGTATACGACTTCTAAGCATTATGGACCAAAGAACAAATCAGAAAATTTTGGTCATGAGGTGTATGTTTAGCCGTCTTAATCACTGGTTCATTGTTATCTAGATTTACGAATACATAGCTCGCACATGTATACCGTGATATGTTCACGAAAATAAAAGTGATTTAGTTTAAATCTTGAACTAAATAGCAAACTATTTAACTGGACTTGCTAGTCTTCCAATTGAAGCTGATCTATTAATTTATGTGAACACTGATCACTCTTATCTTGTACAAAGTACTCTCTTCTTTATAAAAGGAGAAATCATTATGGTCACTAAGTAATAATATAAAATGACGGATAATTCTCATTTAACCATTAAAAACTAAAAACACGAAGTTCAGTGAACGGATCTCTTTTCAACGAATTTATTATCAAGCTGTTGAAGTACTAGTTCTGTGAGGAAATGTGATAAAGGAATAACCAAAATGACGTAATAGAAAAAGTTATACATTTCGAACAATCTGATTACACATAATCGTTAACATATTTCTATACATAAAAACTAATAAATGTCAATCAAATAACAGTTTATTAGATGAACTCATGGTTCGATTGAAGCTAGACCGTTATGGAAATCCTAGAAGCACTGGACGACGGTTTTGTTCTAGTATGAGATTCCTCAACAGTGTGAATCCACGATTCACGATTTAGATTGATTTGACTCAGGAATTCATCTACTAAATTGCTATAATATCAACAAAACTCCACTCTAATTATAATCAAATAACAGTTTGAATAAACATAAAGTAACAATTAGAAATAAAGTAAAGAAAAAATAATGTGGAAATAAAAAGAGATTACCACATCATTCTAGGCCGTAAAATGGCCTAACGTTTACCAAGACAGACTAAAGGTAATGAAAAATTGTTTTTGTGCAAATAAGGGAAGTTCAAATTTTCCCGTAACCGAGGCATTTACAAACCTAAGATATTTATCTTGAAAATTTCTATATAATGATTTAAAAGCTGTATTTATGTCAGCTCTGTGATCCGTTTCAGTTAGATGTTCCACTACTGTTGAATATGATTTTCTACTTCCCATTCTGGCCGGATCATTTGACATAAATTAATTCTGTAGCTGTTTTGGTTCATATTATATATTAGGATTGTATTGTTCAATTACTCCTCCACACAAACATGAGAGTTTGTAAATGCACTTGGATGTGACGTAACGGGAAATGTACTATTTATACCTATATGTAATGATGAGCTTGATTTTTCGCTAAAAATTAATTCAGTACATGGTATATTTTCTCTATGTCTACTTTCAGTCTCTACCTCGAATTAATCTTATTCTATTATCTTCTAAGTGGTAAAGTGTTATTGTTTAAACTAACTTTTAAACCGATCTGTAAAACTCATCGAATCACAGTTTAAAATAATTGCTTCGATTATCAGGTACATGTATTCCTGCAGTATATAATCCTTGACTTCTGTTGATGAAACAACGGACAGAACAATATAAATTCACATATATTGCATTTTCCAGGTTGAACTGCTATCAACTGCACTATTTATTAAAAATTCTATTTATAAAACATTGATCACTTTACCAATTATCAAATAATGCCAACAGTCTACTTATTTATTTGAAGACATAAATATTGGTACAAACGGACAATGAATACATATACATAACACAGATCACTTGGTTTGTGTAAACTTACTTACTTACTTACGCCTGTTACCCCAATGGAGCATAGGCAGCCGACCAGGGTTCTCCAACCCACTCTGTCCTGGGCCGCCTTTTCTAGTTCCAGCCAATTCTTGTTCATTTTTCTCATGTCTATTTCCGTTTCCCTGTGTAAAGTGTTCTTTGGTCTTCCTCTCCTCGTTTGACCTTGAGGATTCCATGTGAGGGCTTGTCTTGTGGTGCAGTTCGGTGCTTTCCTCAATGTGTTTCCTATCCACTTTCAGAGCTTCTTCCTGATTTCTTCCTCTGCTGGGATCTGGTTTGTTCTCTCTCACAGTAGGTTGTTGGTAATAGTGTCCGGCCAACGGATCTGAATTATTTTGCATAGACAATTGTTAATAAACACCTGTATTTTCTGAATGATAGCTTTTGTAGTTCTCCAGGTTTCCGCTCCATACAGTATGGACTGTGATAATTCCCGGGTATCCAGAACGAACCAAGTGGTTTTCTTAGTAGGGCCACACCACGAGCCTTTGACCTAAAGATATGATACACAAGTCAGTGAAACAATGTAATGAGATGCAGGCACACGGTAACTGACAACCAACAATTGGTTCATACACCATTTGTTCCCCCAGGATCTTGGAACCCATCTGCATCATTGGTTTGGAATCAAGCTTCGCCAACTACCCTAGGTGTATCCTCCATATCCATAGCGACGGACATTCACTTTTCGTTCGCTTAATTTCGTAAACAACACCTCCTCCTCAAAAAGTCAATGAGTAGGACTTTCGTGATAGTAGTTGTATGCATTTGGCCATGTGAAAGCATATGGAGAGGAACATCTCACTCACCTCACTCTCGAAAGTACTACAGTATTTGGGAACTGTCAATAGTCTAATTATTCTTAAATAAATATTTTTTTGTAAAGGAAAAATAAAAGAGAACGTTAGTATATAGAAACAACTAATAATAAAAGATAAATAATTTTCTTTTCAATTATTGAATGATTGTTGAAAAAAATTTAAACACTTCCATTGTAACATTCAATTTTCATTTTGTGTATTCAGTGAATGTCATACCGTGAACATTGAACAATAGACGTTAGTGATATTAATTTAATTTTATTATAATAGAACTTGATTTTCTGTTTATTCATTGAAAAGAAAAAAAAGAAGAAAACGATAGAAGCCAAAATTGAACAAATAAATTTTATTTTAATTATTCAAAAAAAAAAGAAAAATTAAATTAAAAATAATTCATCGTTTATTGTTTGATTTAAATCTCTTCCATTTTGTCATTTGTTTATTTGATTGCTCTGTAAAGGTTTATATTAAATATGCAGAGTATTAATAGATAAGAAAGAAAGAAACTAATGATGATGATGATGATGATGATGATGATGATGATGATGATGATGATGATGATGATGATGATGATGATGATGATGATGATGATGATGATGATGATGATGATGATGATGATGATGATGATGATGATGATGATGATGATGATGATGATGATGATGATGATGATGATGATGATGATGATGATGATGATGATGATGATGATGATGATGATGATGATGATGATGATGATGATGATGATGATGATGATGATGATGATGATGATGATGATGATGATGATGATGATGATGATGATGATGATGATGATGATGATGATGATGATGATGATGATGATGATGATGATGATGATGATGATGATGATGATGATGATGATGATGATGATGATGATGATGATGATGATGATGATGATGATGATGATGATGATGATGATGATGATGATGATGATGATGATGATGATGATGATGATGATGATGATGATGATGATGATGATGATGATGATGATGATGATGATGATGATGATGATGATGATGATGATGATGATGATGATGATGATGATGATGATGATGATGATGATGATGATGATGATGATGATGATGATGATGATGATGATGATGATGATGATGATGATGATGATGATGATGATGATGATGATGATGATGATGATGATGATGATGATGATGATGATGATGATGATGATGATGATGATGATGATGATGATGATGATGATGATGATGATGATGATGATGATGATGATGATGATGATGATGATGATGATGATGATGATGATGATGATGATGATGATGATGATGATGATGATGATATTGGCGATGTTTTTGATGTTAATTTGGATGATTTGTTTGGTGATGCTGGTGATTGGCTGGTTTAATTTGAATTTTTTTTTCTTAAATTCAGTAAATAGTATTGTTTTATTCATTAAACTGTTAATACGTTTTTTGCGTATTTTAGTGTTTTATAATTTTATTGAATATCCAAAAGAAAATTCTTTACCTTTATTTTTGAAAACACAAGAAGTAAAGTGTTGACAAGTAAGTTCAATGAATAAGAGACCTCGAGGGTTACTTACTCTTTTACACCTGTAACTTTTCGTGAAAGAACATAGGCCGCCCACCAACACTCTTCATCCATCGCTGTCCTGTACAATCCTTTCCAGCTCTTTCCAGTTGTTATTCATCTTTTTCATATCTCCTTCTATTTCCCGATGTAATGTGTTTTTTGTCCTACCTCTTTCCTTCTTCCCTTCAGCATTTCAAGTTAGGTTTTGTTTCGTTATGCAGTTTGATGATTTGTAATGTATGTTCTATCCATTTTCATCTTCTTTTCTTAATTTCTTCTTGAGCTGGGAGCTTGTAAGGTTTGGACTACAATTTATGAACAACCGCCTGTAGCTCTTCTAGAGTTACTGCAGGTCCCAAGCCCGGGTAAAGGAGGAGGGTTGGGCATGGGGTTAGCGTCCCCATCTCGTAGAAAACTAACTCGCTGAAAAAACGCTTACCAGAAAAAATAATTCAAACCATTTTAACTCTGCCCTGGGAGTTAGAAGGTCTTCATTTAGAAGAATTATGATGCTTCATGGTGAAAGTCGAGTTCCTTCGGAAGCCACAATGCCGATGCTCCTTCTAACAACCAGAGCAAACTTTTTTATAAATACATGGAAGTTATGAACAACGTTTGAGTGACACCAAAGAGACCATGAGAGAGTTTACCTACTTCATATAGCTAGATAACGATTATAAAGCAGTTTAAAGAATAAATATTATGATTCACAGTTGATGGTTAGGGTTAGGAATCAGATTTACGGTTTTTCAGCTATTATACCAAAACTCTATTTAGCCAAATGAATGAATGAATTTTGCACCAAAATCCAAGACGTGTTATCCTTGATCTGATCGGTTCGTCCATAAATTATGGTCTCGCCACCTCAAGATTATTGTGGAATATTTATAGCTCAATATAAAGAAACATGACGTTCTCTAATCGAAACAGTTAAGTCGCAAAGCATTTATTTCATTTCTAAGCAATATAATAACAATATATTTCAAGATGATTTGGGCTATTACACTTTCTTTCATAAATGATTAAAAGTTAGTTTTGTTGACCTGGAACGTTTTCTTAGTGTTGAGTTCTTTGTGAAAAGCAATGTTATCGTAAAGCTTTTACTGGTTCTTCCTTGGTCGCGTCATCATCATCATATTTTTCAAGACAAAGTCAGTTATTTCTTCTTAACCATGTTTTGTCGATAGTAAATTTGACTGCTTGTTGCTCATTGTTGTCGTTCACTCTTAGTACTTTTATTTCATGACGAACATTGTTTATTTCAAATAATATAAACAGTAAGAAAGTAACGTAATTTGAATGCTTATTACTGATGTTGAAGTAACTGTATTTTTTCTCTGATACTGTTCAAAGGACCTAACGTATAGTCTGTATAACTATTCAGAGGATAGGCTAGATAGATTGCTTTTCAACGTTTGTGAGCATTCTGCAGATATTATCAACCTTAAGATGCATTTACAAAATGATGTTCATCGTTATGAGAACTGATTTGTTCTTATGGTGGAGATTCATTATTGCATCTAATTGGTCTCGAACGAGCAACCAATCTGAATATCTTTTCGAGCTTCATTTATGTAATTCTTTCTGATCATCTTTGAGTAATCAATATCTTGATTTTATATTTAAACCACATAATAAATTCTGATTCTCAGTTCAACTCTTTATAATCAAAACATAAATTCCATACTAATCAAGTGTCTCCCTAATACCGAAATATTGAAATGAATCAATCACAAATCAAGTTGTACATTATCCGTAAAGTCAAGTTACAGCACAAAATAAAATTACATGACCAGTTGAATAATATCTATTCAGTGTGAAATAAATTATACTATTTATTTAAATTGTTTTCATCGTCCATAGATGACTTTGTTATTAATAGAAGATAGATTATTCTAATACAAATAATATATTCTGATAGGTCCTGGATTCGAATCTCGCGAGGTGGGATCGTGAATGCGTACTGCTGAGGAGTCCAACAATAAGACGAAACGGCCTTCCGATGCTTCCAAGTTTCCCATAGTGATCTAGCTTCAATTGACTCATGATCTTAACCATTAAAATTACTATAATATCCACAAAACCCCTTCTGATACTAATATGTACTACTTAAATAAATGTAATACATATCACAAGTCATAACCTACCTAAACATTCTAATCACTGATAATAATTAGTATTATGTGATCAACTTAAAAATAGCTTGATTTTACGCCACCATCTATACATGTGCATAGATACTTTTTTTTAACTCTAATTCATCATCTATATTTTTCTTATCTCGCACAGATATTATTTATGTAGTAGACACGTGTATATAACTGACAGAAAATGGGTTCAATTAGTAAGACAAAGCCAAATTAAGATAATGTCTCATCTTACAATAAATGATTAAATATAAACCAAGTATTGTTTCAGTGAAAATCTTCTTAATTAATTTGACTAATAAAACTGGTATCAAATACCCAACAATTTGTATACATCTGGATGTATTTATATTATGTATATAGTAATATTATAGGCAGATAGCACATACTGATCTAAAAGATAATTATGATTACGATCTATTTCACATTCAACATCATCATTGCATCCTATCATGATCAATGTAATAATAATAATAATAATAATAATAATAATAATAATTGTCATGGTAACAATATGTGTTATTCAAATGTACTGCAGGGAAGTAGTGTATCATTAAGTAACTGAACAAAAAAACTATACATTACTCAGTTTAGCTACAATTTACTTTCACAAAAAAGTACCAATTTTAAATGGGATGAAATAATGGACAGTGAATGCTTTGTGTAGATTTGTTTTAATTAATCAAGAATTTAATTGGCTATCCATATTGTACAATGAGAGATAAACTTTGTTATGCATCTTTTTTTAAACTCTCTCTCACACACACACATTAATACTTTTAATTTGTCAATTAGTAACAATTTTTTCAGGTTTTCCATGATGGTCTAGCTTCAATCGACTCATGAATTCAACTAGTGAACTTACTAAAATCTCCACCGAAACCCCTTCTGATAATAATCATCTGCTCACTAGTTACTGACGTCACGAGGCATTTCTTGGAGTTCTAATGAGAAGCGGTGATCAGTATAGTTCAGCAAGATCTGTTGTTATATATAAGCTCACTGAAGACAATGGTGGACGGTGGCTCAATTTCGTGAATTCGTTGAGGTTAGACATTAACATCGTTGGATGTCGACTCAGTGATCTAATGGTTAATCGTTCGCGCGTGAGACTGATCGGCCCTGGGTTTGAAACCGTGGATGAGCACTGCTGAAGGGTCCCACAATAGGACGAGTTGGCCGTCCAGTGCTTCCAGGTTTTCAATGGGGGTCTAACATCAATCAGTTCATGATTTCAATCAAAAACCTAATAATCTCCATAACCTTATACTAAAACTTTTTCTATCCGTCCTCACAATGTTCTGACCAAGTGGTGATCATCGAAAACATCACTTGACATCAATAATATAAGTGAACTGTAACTGTTGACATGCGAAGTATTTGAGACTTACTGTAAAATATTTCTTAAATAAATCTCGGTAAACTACAATAAAGCTTGGTGATATAATTTATTATAAACTGCTATGTCATAAACTACATTATAACCAGAGAGGAATTTTGTGGATATTATAGCAATTTAATTGTTGAATTCATGAGTCAATCGAAGACAGACCACCATGGAAAACCTGGGATCTCACGAGGCGGGATCATGCATGCACATTGCCAAGGAGTCACATACTAGAGAGAAACGGCCGTCCAGCTGTTCCAAGTTTTCCATGATGATCTAACTTTAATTGACTGATGAATTCAACTATTAAATAACCTAGATTATTGTAAAACATCTTTAGTTATGTATTGAATAAGTAAAAATAACATACAATCTGCAAAATTGCTGAATTGAATAGATTGATTATCATCTACAAACAGTTTTAAGAGCTAAATGTTTCTTCCCAATTTTATGAAATATTTATACGATAAAAACTATCATATCAGAGTATATTGAAAGCAAAATGATTTTTATGTATGATACGATATAAGGGATTGTATAGCGTGTAATACTTTAAACTTGATGTAGCCATGATATTATGTCATAAAAACAAAATATCAGCATATTAGACTCCTATTCATTATCTATGACTTGTTGTATTAAATGGAATTTATCAAGATCTCAAAACAATAAGCATAAAGTAGATAATATCCAATGATGAACTAGATAAATGACACGGTAAAATAAACAATATTAACAACCGATCTTGAGATTTTGACTTTATATCAATGAAGAACATTTTGAATTAGTCTATGAACAGTCTCACTTTATCGTTAATACTAACGTCCTACCTAAACTAAATGCAGTAACTTCCGTAACCTGCATAAAATACAGGGAAATATCATAATAATTCTTGTTACGCTTTCTTTCATTCACATATTAGTGTCTTCTTTAGCATTCTAAAGTTTTATTATTATTATTATTATTATTATTATTATTATTATTATTATTATTATTATTATTATTATTATTACTCATATTTGTTCTAAGTCCATCAACAGTAAACTCGCATTTCATCTATTGCTAGATAAACAATACAATTGATTGATGTATGCATTGTGGCATTGTAATTGATTACTTTTACTGGATTGATTTGATTGTATTCCTTAGTTTAATGAATGACGTTAACTAACTTTCCTTAAAAAAACATACTAATTCAATTTTCACTAAGATTTTCTTAAAGTATTATCACTAAGATAGAATTAATTCTACACTTAGCATATTACTATGTGAAATAATCCCTTAATCAATTTACAAAGTGAAGATGAATGGTGGCTAGAAGTGGAATCCAGGATGTGCGCTTCGTCCTATTGAGGACTCGTCAGCTGGAGGTACTTACATCTCAGATTTGATGTCCACTCTGCGACTCGAACTGACTTCAAACATCATAGCATTATCCACTTAGCTACTGAGTCCTGATAGCCACTTGATTGTGCAATCGGGTGAAGTTTAAATTCAATTGATACTGTTTACTTTAATCTTTCCATTGATGTTTAGGACTACAATTGATCAGTACACATTGCACAGTATGCACATATATCAAGTGAATTTATTTATAAAGTTATTTGTTTTCCAACCTCTATTATATACCGAATCTATTATTTGAATGAAGTAGTACAATCTCCTTAGAAAACAAGAAAAGAAATAATAAACATTTCATTTGAATTCATTCTTCAGGGAATTTATATTCTTAGACTAGCTGTCCTAATTAGTTTACTCATAAGATACATCTTTGCATATACTAAAGAGATTTTCCACACAAATATTACTTGAGTACAATAAAACCAATAAACTACCAGTTAAGCCGAAGAATTTCGTCTTGCATAAGAAACATGACAGTTTTCTTTACTAATATACTAGGTAAATAAAGAAGGAAATTAATTCTTTAATAATTGAATTCATGAGTCAATTGAAGCTTGATCACCATGGAAAACATGGAAGTACTGGACGACCGTTTCATCCTGATATTCCAAGTAGTCCCATACTAGGATAAAACGGCAGTTCAGTGCTTTCAAGTTTCCCATAGTGGTCTAGCTTCAATAGACTCATTCATTCAATTATTAAATTAATACAATCTCCACAAAACCTTTCTGAAATTAATTCTATTGAATTATTTACAATATTGGATGTAATTCTTAGATACTGCAATTGAGATTACGAAAAATTCAAACCTTCTATTAATTACTAGTATAGAGGTTGTGGAGATTATTAAGTTTTGAATCTCCACAACTCCTATACTAGTAATCAACATGTTCTCACTAGTGGCTAGCTTCGTGAGGGAATTCTCAGAGTTCTAGTGAGAAGCCATGATCAGTGGAGCTAATCCATGTCGGGTAGAGACAGTTATCTACCTCAGTACAATGGAAATTGGTCGCGCGATTTCGTGGATTGGTTGATGTTAGACACTATCACCATTAGATGCCAGCTCAGTGGTTTAGTGGTTAAGTTCTCGAGCGCAAAACCAGTAGGTCCTGGGTTCGAATCCCGCAAGGTGCGGGATCGTGGATGCGCACTACTGAGGAGTCCCATACTAGGACGAAACGGCCGTCCAGTGCTTTCAAGTTTCCAAAGGTGATCTAAGATCAATCGGTTCACGATCTCAATCAAAAACTTCTATTAATTAATTGAAATAAGAGATATGTCTTTGAAAATAGTTCATCACTATTGATTTTTTTTAAAAAGCAAATTAGTGGATGGTAACCAGTCTATTCAATAAAATTCAAGCGATACATTGTCACAAATATGGTTACAAAATTAATTTTGAGATTTGTCTTTAATAAAACAAAGAAGATAGATGGATTAATAAATTAAAAATGAAATAAGGAATTATGAATGTTTACATTTTTTTCCTAAATTATATAACATTGCACTTTGCAAACTGAATCCAACTAGATTTCATATTGCATGATAAGAATTTCAGTCTAGTTAATTCAATATAATGTACACTTAGTTTTTCTAATCTCCAAATACCCTGGTACGACCGAGAGTGGGGAGAGTCAGCTGTTCCTGTCCAAATGCTCTCACACGGCCAAGTGCATACAACTACTACCACGGAAGTCCCACTCACTAACTTCTTCAGGAGGAGATGTTGTTAACGAAATTGAGAGAACAAAAAGTGAATGTCTGGCGCATTAACCGGGAAGGTGGATATGGAGTATACACCTAGGGTAGTTGGAAAAGCCTGATTCCAAACCAATAGTGTACATGGGCTGGCTCCAGGATCCTGAGGGAACAAATGGTGTATGAACCAATTGTTGGTTGTCGGTTACCGTCTGACTGCATCTCCTTACAATACTCCACTACCTTGTGTATCAAACCTTTAGGTCAAAGGCTCATGATGTGGCCTTCCTATAAAAACTACCTGGTTCGCTATGGATACCCGGGAATTATTACAGTGCACATGTAGCGTCAGTTATTATGGCAAGCCCATCTACCTTATTCTAACTTGTGGACATCCTATTTAATTCATTTTACTTGAGCCATATTTTGACCTTGTTAATTATTCGCTTATTAGCCCTGACTGTTTTCATATGAGCGTATATGTGTGTGCCCTTCTTATCGCATTAATCACATGTCTGTAGCTTTATTCTGTCTGCCTATAAATATGGAGTAACTCTTGACTAAAATGGAGTTGGCTTCTCAGCCATCCTCCCTGTGCGTCATTTTGCTTGGCTCTGTTTCATCCGCTTCATGTACGAAATATATGTATTGTCAAGTCAATTCTCGTTATTCGACTTATTTAATTCCGTTATTGGATAACGCGATCTAAGTCGACGATGATATACGAGAATAGGCGATAGCAAACATATATACGATCTTGGAGTCAGATCCACGGGCCACAAAACACACAAATCAAGTGACCTGTGTTGTGCATATGTATTTGTTGCCCCTTTGTACCACCATTTATGTGTTTAAATGAATAATAAATAAATAAATAGGTTATTCTTATCCTATTAAAGAATGTAAGAATAATTATTTAAGCAGAATATTATGAATTCAGTTTACTTATTATTTGAACCACCTTTACT